TTCATGTGTTCCCACATGGGCCCTATTCGAAGCTCAAGAATTTTCTTAATAAGCAAAGTCTTGCCTAATGAAGCATTATTCTTGCAAATCTTACGATATTCTGTCCCTCCCTCTTCTAATTAATAAGATTTTTCTTCTAAAAAAATTAGAAACACTGTTAAACATTGCACCCTCTTTTATGTTTAAAAGTTTACTTACATGCTACTGTCCTTATTATGCATCTCATCAACACTCCAAAACCTAATCTTGTATTTAAAAGTCTAAAATCTAGAGCAGGTGTCAATAAACTTATTCTTCAAAGGATAGTAAATATTTTAGACTTTGTGCAGTCTTTGTCCCAAAACTACTGCCTCTACTACTGCAATAAGAAAGCAGTTACAGGGGTGCCTGGGTGGCTCAGTTGGTTAAGCGACTGCCTTCGGCTCAGGTCATGATCCTGGAGTCCCGGGATCGAGTCCCATGTCGGGCTCCCTGCTCAGCAGGGAGTCTGCTTCTCTCTCTGACCCTCCCCCCTCTCATGCTCTCTCTCTATCTCATTCTCTCTCTCAAATAAATAAATAAAATCTTTAAAAAAAAATTATTAAAAAAAAAAAAAAGAAAGCAGTTACAATGTGGAAACAGATGAATGTGGCTGTGTTCTAATAAAACTTTATTTATAAAAACAGGCAGCATGCCAGATTTGGTCCACAGGCCCCTGTTGCCAAATCCTAATCTAGAGTATCAATTAAGTGGCATGTTATGATAATCCTTTATCTACTCTTTAAAGGTTAGTAACACATGTCTCTGCCCAATTGGTTTAATAGGTTATTTTACTTGTTAATGATTAGTATTTACCAGTTTTATTGAGAGTAAATTATTTTCTATTCTTACTAATTTCATTTAGGGTCTTCCCAGTATTTAACTAATTTTTCATAATTCTGTACTTAGCCAACTAAATAGAATTTGCTTAATCATTCAGTATTTCATCAAGAATCCCATTTTCTGAAATTTATCATTTTTTTATACCTTTAAATTCACTCCAAAATTCCTGTGAAAAGTAGAAATGTCAATACTTCTCTGCCAATGCTTTACAAAATCCAAAAATAAAACAAGCATTTACATGTTTACTTTTTCCTTCGTTAAAAATTCAAGGCAATCATTAATAAAGATATCTGTCTATGGTATGGTAGCTAGTCTCTAAGATATCCCCCAAGGATCCTCACCTCCTGGTATTCACACCCTTGTAGTCCCCTCCACTGCAGCTTGTCTCGGTCTCTTGGAGAGCTCACTGTGGACAAAGCCAGGTGCCAGGTCATGAGGGCACGGAGCCCTGTGGAGCAGCCCACATGGAGAGAAACCAAGTGGCCAGTCCCAACTTGCCAGCCATGTGCTCCTCCAGCTGAACCGTTCAGACTTTCAGAGACTGAAGCTCCAGCCAACATGGAACTAAAACCTCATAAGACACCCTAAGCCAGAACTGCCCAACCAAGCAGCTCCAGAATTCTTGCGCCATAGGAACTGTGAATAATAAGAAATGATTACTGGGCGCCTGGGTGGCTCAGTTGGTTAAGCGACTGCCTTCGGCTCAGGTCATGATCCTGGAGTCCCGAGATCGAGTCCCGCATCGGGCTCCCTGCTCGGCAGGGAGTCTGCTTCTCCCTCTGACCCTCCCAACCCTCCCCCCTCTCATGTGCTCTCTCTCTCAGTCTCTCTCTCTCAAATAAATAAATAAAATCTTAAAAAAAAAAAAAAGAAATGATTACTGTACTAGGTTTGGGGGTGATTTGAGGACACAGTGGATCCTCTTCATCCAATTAGATTACAATTTAGCTTATTTTGTATAACTTCATGAATATTTTGGTTCATGGCAGCTGCAGTTGATACACAAACATCTCCTGTCTTGCAATGAGATGAGTTCAGGGGACAAGACCAGCATCCAACAACCAATTAGGCTGCATAGCAGTGATGACCGTTTGCCGTTTGTTCAACAGCATTCAACGTTAACTCGATGCTTGCTGTGTGGAAAGCTTTGTGCCAGGATATAAAAGATAATTTCATTTCTCCATACGAGCACATGACCCATGATAACAGTTACATGCAGAAAATAATCCTTAGGGTGCCTGGGTGGCTCAGTTGGTTGAGTGACTGCCTTCGGCTCGGGTCATGATCCTGGAGTCCCGGGATCAAGTCCCGTGTCGGGCTCCCCGCTCAGCGGGGAGTCTGCTTCTCCCTCTCCCGCTCCCCTGTCTTGTGCTCTCTCTCTCTCTCATTCTCTCTCTCAAAAAAAAAAAAAAAAAAAAATCCTTCCTTCATCCATCGGTGCCCACATAAATCTCACCATTGCACAGGTCAGTATTTGTAAACCCTGGTCTAACCCATTAGAGGATAATGAAATGCAGTTAATGGGATGCTTTCTACCAGCACTTTAAAATAATGAAACAGAAGAGAAGATACAGGTAATACGGGGAAAGTATTTTTTCATTTCAGTTTTATGTAAAAAAAAAAAAAAAGTATTTGTATGTGGACAATACATCATGCAGCAATACTGTGGATCATGGTCAAAAAAGTTTAAAACCAGTGACCTAAAATACCAATGGTAACATCCTTAGAAACTAAGGATGAGTCACCACGTTCCCAGTTCTCACCCATCACATTCTTTTCTGACTACTCTTCTGCCTGCCTGCTAAACACCTGGGCTTCACTGCTCATTTTATTTTCATGTTGAGATTTTAAAATCCCTGTGGAAACTGGGTCTGGCCCAGTTGCTTTTTTCCTAATCTCAGTCCTGCCCATTTTGAAAATAGGGAAGTCCCTTCTCCTTGGGGATACCCCTTTTAAAACACACTTAGTGGCTGACTCAAAAGAGTAAGTAATAAGAGGAAGATCATAGAGGGAACTTGAAATGACTCTGAGATCATTGAAATTTCTAACTAAATGAATCATATTCACTTCTCAAACATGTTAAAAATAATTAGATATGCTAGGCTTATAAGGCTGGTACTCTATAATGCTCCAGAAACAATTATATTTTCCGCTAGGTGGACTTTCAGGTTGTTGTGACTTATATGCAGTACAAAAGTACTATGCTTTTATGACAAGGGCTGCAGACATAGGAAGTATCTTGAATCCAAGAATTATCTCCCAGCTCTCTCTTCTGCAGTGCCTGGCATAGGCTTTGCATTAAACTGATAAATGAACAAATATATATATATATATATTAACATATATATATTAAAGATGTTATTTATTTATTTGAGAGAAAGACACAGAGAACGCATGAGCAGGGGGAGGGGCAAAGGGAGAAGGACAAGCAAACTCCCCACCAAGCAGGGAGGCCGACGTGGGGCTCAATGCCAGGACCCCAAGATCATGACCTGAGCTAAAGTCAGATGCTGAACCAACTGAGCCACCCATGTACCCCATGAACAAATATTTTTAAAAAGATATCTTCGGAAATTAAAAAAAAAATTATCCAATCGAGTGATAATTCATCTACCTATTTATGAGGCTTCAAGAGAAAGGCATTGTTATCCATAAGGAAGTTTTCTTAACTTTAAACCAGTATCTCAACCGTTGAAAATAAAAATACTAATAAATAGAGCTAAACATTTCTTTGAACTAATAGGAAGATTCTGAGATTACTCCAAAATGAGTCAGGATAAGCAAAAAAGGTCAGGGTAATGATTTTATTGTGCACTGACGGTTTTCTTTTTACCAAAAAGGCACAATGAAGCTTAAGAGAAGCTATGGGGAAAATGATACTAAGACTCAGCTGATTAATAACCCCTAAAAAAACAAGCTATAAAGAGGAAATGGGGAATCAACATGCTGTAACCAGACCTCAACATTTAATAAGGAAATGGATTGATGTCTTTGGAAAAGCACAGAAAAGCAAGTAATCAAATTCCTCTAGAATGAAATCAAGAAAAGGGGGGGGGGGCGCAGGCATTAAATCACAAAAAGCTCTAATGAAAAAAAAAAGTTCTGGCTTTTTCCAACGTTCTTTTTCTAAGCAACATTCTGATTTTTATTAATTATTCAAAAAGCAGTTGTTTTTCATGTCAATAAAATTTTAGCACAGTATGTCACCCTCATCCTATCGTTGGTCTAAACAAAACTTAAGAACCTGTCCTCCGGTCTGTTCATTGGCCGAAATTGCAGAATACGCTGGCATTTGCCAAATTTATTTTTCTAGCCCACTCTGAGTTCCAGACTAGTATATCCAACTGCCTGCCTGAAATCTCCCTACTTGGGTTTTCCCACAACCATTTCAAACTTACCTACCAAGAAGAGAATCTCTAGACCTCTCCATCCTTCATTCCACAACTCTTCCCCACTCCCCACCTTGCCTCACCCCCCAAAAAAAGAATATACCATTTTTCTCATTTCAAAATATGGAACTTCCAACCCAGCTGCCAAAGTCACAAAGCTGGAAATTATTCTTCCCATGTAATCCAACAAATCCTGTGTGCGTGACCTCCGAAATCTCTCTCCAGTTAGTCTACTTTCCTGTATCTCTGCTGACATTCCCTGAATTCATGTGCCACCTTTTCTCATTTGGACAAATGCAATAGCTTCTTAACTATTCTCCTTTTTCTATTCTAAGTCTTGCATCATTTAATTTTCCACCCGGCAACCAGAGTAATATACAAAATATCTCCTATTGAAAACCTTCAGGTTCCTACAGCATCTGAAATAAAGTGCTAAGGCCTTAATTGGGCTGTAAGTCCTTGCAGTGTGGCCCCTGGCCCTGTCCCCAGCTGCAGATGGGGAGGCTCCCACCCCACTCACTCCTCCAGGGAACCCAGCTGCTTTCAGACCCTGTGGGTCTTACAGCCTACAAAGCTCTTCCCCAGCCAAATAACTCCCCCTACTTATCCTGTCAGGTCTCAGCTTAAGTACTTAAAAATACATATTTACCACTGTGGTTATTAGTCTAATGCCCATCCATTTCTCTTCTGTGCTGACAGATGCAAAAATTCAGTGTCAGTGCCTATTTTGTTCAACACTGACCCCAGAAGCCACCAGAGGCTTTGGTATATAATAGAAGCCCAGTAAATATTTGTTCAGCAAAAGGACTTTCCTTTAAATTTATCTTACCACTAAGATTACATCATGCCTTTATATAGAAATTATAAATGTAAATAACTACAAGATAAGAAATGAATAAAATCGTAAGAAAAGAATACAGTCCATGAATTACATTCTAAAGAAAATAATCTCAACATATAATGTATTATTAATCTATCCATTTCCCTTTCAGGATTACAGACTTACGAATATATTAATTTCATAAGTCAAATTTGCAAAACAAGACCTTAAAAGATAAACAAGCATTACAGGCTATTATATAGTTATTCCGTGGAAACATTTACTCTAGGTTGGCTATTACCAGAAGCATCAATAAAACTGCAGCGCCAGGAACATCATTTCTAATATGATTTGTTCCTAAAATGGTACTGAAATGATTAGATGAAGAACAGATCAATACAATTTTAATATTTTAAATTGTCTATATCCTATTTTTCTTTCTTAAACATCCACAATGCTCAAAGTATCATCGTTATATTTTCAAAATGAACATATTAGCCTGAAAACATGTTATCTATGAAAAAAATGTATTAAAACAGAAAACAGAGGAGAAAAATAACTTGGCGGGAAGGTAGCAGAGAAGAGTGACAACTTCAATTTTCCTTACTGATTTTACTTCAAAGTCCTGCTGTTCTTAATACTAAAGTAAAATTCTGGTTTAAACACTTTACTCTCAGTTCTGTTCATATCTGATCTTAATAACCCAGCAATGAAGTGCCCACATTCTACTTACCACCCAATCGACTTTTCATTTTTCATCATGACATTGATGAGACTAGCAGAGTTCTGACAGGTTGTAGACCCAGAACGGTGCTCAGTGCTCAAATTAAAATATGCAAGTAATTTGACAAAGAAATCTTTGAAAAACAAGCAGTAGTTTCTATAAAACCTGGTCAGCCATCACTAAGCATTCTCTGCAGAAATTATTTCTCACCACTGAGTGGCAAAGAAACGTAAATTGAAATACATCACATTTAAAAAATAATTAAAATGTTCCAGTCTCACCTTCCTGTAAGTATGTTCTCATAAAACTCTTTCTGTTACCATGCTTTTCCTATTTCCCTAAGTGCTCCATTTAAAAGTAAGGGCTTAGAAACACAGAGCACTTATAAACATTCTCCCAGGAGAATGAAGAATGAAAACTGAAGTGACGATGAGTTGGTCTGATTTTTCAACCCCGTATTTCACTCTAAAATAGTTCCACTTGAAGATTTGCTTGCGTCTTCTTCACACAGGGCTACGAAATGTGGTAGCCAACGTACAAGGTGGCCCCCAGTGATTCTCAAGTCCTGGTACTCAAGCCCTTACGCAGACCCCTTGCACATGAAATATACCTGATTGTCCTATACAACAGGTACTGCAAAAATGACCAAAGCTTGACCCCAAGGACAGGTCACTGAAAACACTGTGGCCTCCATCTTGCTCTCTTTGAATCAATCACTCTGATCTTCCAGATCCTCCAGCCCCAGTGAAACCTTCAGGTGACTGCAACCCTGACCAATATCTTGACTGCAATCTCCTAAAAGACTCTGAGCCAGAACTACCCAGCTAAATCACTTCCATAATTCCGGACTCACAGAAACTATGATATTCAATGTTTGTTGTTTTAAGCTGCTAAGTTTTGAGGTAAATTGTTTGGCAGCGAGAGAACTAAAACACTACACACTTCATCATTTCTCACCCATCACATATATACCCAGTTCGAAGCTCAGTAGGCCTAGAAATGTTACATGTAGATAGGAAAACACTTTGTAACCTAAATACAGAATCCCGAAAGTCAGATTTAGCCATATTGCAAGCATGCTTTCTGGAATTCCATTTGTAAGACCTCAACTATGTTAACTATTGCTACCAAAGGCCAGGATGCCACCACACCAGACAGGTAGTGAGGAAGACTGTCATAAAGAAGATGCCCATTACATGCTTCATAAATCCGTGAACCAATAAATGATGCGGGAATAAAAGAAACAAATGATACCAAGGCTGGTAAGACTCATAACACACATCTTTACTGTTTGCAATGTTTCTTTCAACCACCAGAGGGCAGGAATGGCACACTGTTCTTCTTTGGCCTGAGAGCCCTTAACATAATGCCTAAAGCATAAAGCATTTAGTAGGAATAAAATAAAAATTCTGCACAAATGGAGAAAGAGAGAAAGGGATGATGTTTGTTAATAAATGGGAAGAGATAAAGTCTTACTACGATGCCCAAAAAAGCACCCTGGAGTATAAACTGAGGTAGAATATAGGACTTCGTATATACCACTATCAATTAGTACTAATTCATGTACTTCTTAATTCAATACTAATTCTACCCAATTAGAAACTGTTGGCATTTTTCTTTTCTGAAATGTCTGTTTCTATAGGAAACAGTAAATTTAGTATATTAAATTCAGGCACATTCTCACACTATCCACAAGTGATTATAACTCAACTTTCTTGTTCCTTAGAACCAAAATAGGCATCATTATGTACCTAGTAGGAGCTACATCCAATGCAGGTAGAGTGTCCAGAAAGAAAGAATCACCCTCTCTGTGGCCAGACTCATTAACTCCTACCTATTAAGTTATTAAGCTCTCTGAAATCTTATTATCATAGCAAGTACTTTCCAACTGTCCTATTATTTTTAATGTTGCCTTGCAGCAAACAGTTTTTATTGAATATATTTTTAACTATCCATCATTTTCTACTGAATCGGAAGCTTACTCCTAATAACAAAATTAACAAAATCACTTTCCCTTTTCTTCAAGTTATTTAAGTTAGCGAGAGTCAGGGATGACTTCGTATTGTGTTTTATGAGGCCTTTGGCGAATTATGTTGCTTTTATGGTTTATGGTCTGATTCCTAGATCTAAGAATTATGGTTGGCAAGAATATTTATAAGCAGATAGAGACAGATAATGAATAAAATGGAATCCCAACATTTCAAAGGATATCCTTGCTGAAAGAAGCTGAAGGAGATAAATGGGTTAACTCTTGATTAATCTAAAAGGCATTCATAAAAATATCCCATCCCCTCAACTACAATACATAACAAGATGTTATCTGTATGTTTGTAATGAAGATCAAATTGTCCCAAGGATAACCATTAATTAGTTAATGATAACAATACTGAATCTGGATTTATGGGGAAATCTTGTTGGCAGTAATGTTGAACAGAATAAAGCAGAGGCATTTAATTTGGTTCAGGGGGCCTCTACAGATCTGTAAACCCCTGATCCTTTGCATACTTTAAAATACATAAGCACATAAGGCATTCTCTAGGGGAATGAGACTCTTTCACCCTCAAATGACAGAGAATCAAATTCAAAATAGCTTAAGCAAAAGAAGGGAATTCACTGGCTCAAATAATTGAAAAATCCAGAGGTAGATCCAGCGACTCAACTCCTGGTGTGTATCTGTCTCAGCTCCCTCCCTCCCTTGTTCCCTCTCAGTCCCATCTCAGTCTCAGAGATGCTCATCCCAGGAGGGCAGCTCTAGGCTTACACCTTTACAGCTTCAATCCAACAGAAGAGATTCTCTTAAGGAAAGTCCCAGGATCAAGTCTCAGTGGCCCAGTTACATCATGTACACACCCCTGAGGTCAGGTCTGCAACAAATACTCACCCCTAAGACCAGGCCTGACAGTGAGGAAGGAGTTACTATACAAGGAATATATGGATTAGATTCTCAGAAGAAAGAAAGAATGATGGGCAGGAAACAAAATAAATGTAAGTCATCTATGTATATCCAGTTTCAGAGAGATCCCTGAATGCCCTTCTCCAAAGTTAAAAACCAGTATAAAAAAGGTTTAAAGAAGAATAGGTACATTTCTTTTCTTTTTTTTTTTTTAAATTTTATTTATTTATTTATTTGACAGAGAGAGACACAGTGAGAAAGGGAACACAAGCAGGGGGAGTAGGAGAGGGAGAAGCAGGCTCCCCACCAAGCAGGGAGCCCGATGCAGGGCTCGATCCCAGGACCCTGGGCCATGACCTGAGCTGAAGGCAGACACTTAACAACTGAGCCACCCAGGTGCACCGAATAGGTACATTTCTAACATGTTACCTTAAACCTAACACTGCATCACACTGCTCATAGTTAAATAACTAATATCCTAATCAAATCCAGTGCCTTACTTGGCTTCCTTAATTTAGAAGCACAGCATTTCCCTTCACTGACTCCATAATTACCTCTTCTTTAAGTTCTGTCTTCTGACTCTGGCTTCCAGGCTATACGTGAGTCAGGTTCTACGGACTCTCTTTTTCAGGCATTCATTCCCCACTTTCCCTCCTTCTTTTTCTATCTCATTCTATCACTATTCTATCTTATCTTTCATTTTAACTTCAAATGACGCTCAAGGATGCATCTCCAGACCAAAAAATCCTTTAAAAAAAAACCCCTCTATTCCCACATTTCTTTTTTTTTTTTTTAAAGATTTTATTTATTTATTTGAGAGAGAGAATGAGAGAGAGAGGGCATGAGAGGGGGGAGGGTCAGAGGGAGAAGCAGACTCCCTGCCGAGCAGGGAGCCCGATGTGGGACTCGATCCCGGGACTCCAGGATCATGACCTGAGCCGAAGGCAGTCGCTTAACCAACTGAGCCACCACCCAGGCGCCCTATTCCCACATTTCTAAAAACCAAATATACTAACCTCAAAGTCTAGGTGCCATACCCCAAAAACTGAAAACAAACATCTTCTCTTTAACAAGTTTATTTCCTTTGTTCCTCCCTCTCAGTTATCTGAGAAATGATCTGACCACTTCAGGATTCAGCTCAGACATGACATCTTCCATGAGGCCTTCCCTCTCCTCTCCCCTCCAGGTGGGGTTATGTGCTCTCACAGGGCCTTGGAGGCCCCATGCCCACTGTCACCGTACTTATGCCATTTCAGTGTAATGACTGGTCCACTTCCTGAGTTCTTACCCTAGACCACACGCTCTCGCTAGCAGGGACACAGCCGAGTCTTCCATCTGTATCCAATGTGCCAAGCAGAGGGGCTGGCACATGGGAGGCTGCCAATGAATGCTTCACGGAAAAGGGGGAAAACTTAATTCTTTTTTTTCTTTTTTGAACAAACTTAATTCTTTTTCAAGATCTAGAAGTTTAAACTATTTACTACTTGCTAAAAAGGACTGGCAGGGAAAAAAAAAAAAAGATTTGTTTGATTTACCATTGGAACAGACTGTGTCTTGGTAAGGTGTAGGCAACGAGACTGCTACCAAAATCTGTAAAATAAAAGTCAGGGACCAGAATTAAAGTGAAAAATCACCACTTTCTTTTTTCCTTCTTAGTTTAAGCCCCAAGGTTAAAAAAAAAAAAAAAATGATGGTAGACATGGAACACTAGGGAACTCTTCTTTCTCTCCAAGGGACTAATAACAACACTTCATCACCAGGCACCAGATGTACTTGCTGTCGAGGCCTTAAATCTTTCCTTACGGGTATCAAGCACCCCAGCTATCCCTTGACACACCAAGAGATGGCTTTCTGAGACAGAGCTGACTGGGAATGACTCAGTCCTTTTAACCAAAAGCCTTTGCTCCTTGGTGATATTCCTTCTAACTTTAAAGCGCCTTCAATCCTTATGACCTGAAGTCTGAGACTTCATTATTCACTAGTTTCGCTGACACTGACCACATTACTTAATGTCTCAATTAAGAGATTAGGGATCTACTTAATCTGGAAAGTCTAAATTTCCACATCTCTAAAATGGGAGTAACACTAGCCACCCACAGGGCTGTTGACGAAGGTAAGTGAGGGAGCAGGAAAAACACTCGAAGCACCGGTGGTGTTCGTAAGAGAGGTACTGATGACAGGGTTCCAGCCACTCCCCGGCATTCATAAAGGACATGAAGGTCTGTGGGCTTCACTAACACAGCACGTCTTCCAGAGTCGCTCGGTAGCAGCCTTCTCTGACCTACTCCAGGGAGGCATCATTCCTACTCATCTTGTTGTACACATAATTTTAAAAATAATTCATTCCTTCTCACGACTCCTAAAATTGTGTAAAATTGTACACATGCTCTGAACTCACCCTTGCTGGTTTCCCCCCTTGAATTTCCTTCAAGTCAATCAAGTTGAGAAGGCATTATTTTCATTAGTGTTTTTGTAGACTTTAATGAGCAACGACTAGTTCTCTGTTTCACTGCTTTGCACAAGGTCAACTTACAAACCTCAATGTAATTACTGTCTTTGGTTTTCTCCTTAGATTATTCACATCAACGCCAAGTGGCTGCAGTCTGTACTGTTTTTAGCAGCCTCACACGTAACCTTGGCAACTCTGTCCTACTCAGCCTAATCCTTGGCAGCAACCATTGCAAATAAAAAAGTAAACAGGCCATATTTCTGATATTTTATTTGTAAGTGTGGGACTGTAGTCCATTTATTTATTTGAGGGGGGCGTCTGTTTGAAGACAAAATATTTCTGGTATTTTATTTCCTTTCCATACTTCTGAATGATTTCCGTGGGGATGCAAAGTAACACTGATTTGATATCAAGTAGGCATTAGAAATTTGATGAGGAGAGGAATCTAGTCAATGTCACTTCATCTTGCTATGAACAAATAGAGTACTAAAATTAGATTAAAAAATTAAAAAAAGGAAGCTTCAGCTTCTATTATTAATCATGAGCAAAACCACAAAACATGTAGATTTGTTTTCTTAAAACTACCTCTTTCCACAGAAATTTTGTCATTTAAGTTTCCATATATAAAAACTTTGCAAGAAACTGAAGCTTTTCCTTTTGGGGAAAGATCAACCTATAAGAATAAACACAATCAAAACATTAAAAATGTCAAAACTATTTCTCTCACTGGCAATAACAACAGAAAGTAAGTAACAGCTTGGATGGGAAAAAAACAAATCTGCTTCACAGCTCAAACTCCAGAAATGTAAAGAAAAAGTGCCCTCATCTGGCCAGACAAAAAACTTAACATCTAAACTCACATACTAACTTGCTAAAGCATAATTTTCGGGCTTTAATTGGTATAGAAATAAATCTGAAGGTTTAAAAAAAATAAGTAGCAAATCCAACAGTATAAACTTTTTTGCTAGGTTTTTTTGTTTTTTGGGTTTTTTTGGCTGTTAAAAAACAACTACTTAACCATAAAATATAAAGCAAATTATACAATACACAGTCTCTCCCCAACTGGATATATCAGAAATATCATAGGAAGAATTTAGTTACCAGTCCTCTTATTTGCAAATCATTAATTATAAAACGGCATAAATAACTTTATATCCTAATGACAAAGCTGATTTATGACTTTCACATGCTATTATCTGGAAAAAAATATCTTTGCAAAACTTTAGAGCTCATAATCTTTTTCCTGAGTACTTTTTAAAACTAAAATGCCATTTAAAGTTAAACGTTGGTAACTACTTGTATTCTCAGCTGGCATCTCTGCCAAACAGACCCAGCAGAGCCCTGAACAGAAATACCGATTTCAGCAGCGCTGACATTGTTACAACCAAAGCTCTACAGATGAGTAACCCTACCATTAACAGTAATGATGATGCGGCAATACTAGTATTAGAAATCACTCAAATGTTAGCTATTTGCCGGGCCCTGCAGGAGGCAGGCAGAACACTGCCCCGACACCCGCCCGCCGAAGTCCATGGCCTAATCCCCAGAACCTGTGATTAGGTTACCTGACTACCTCACATGGCAAAAAGAGCTCTGCAAATGTGGTTAAAATGAGGGAGAGAAGACGAAGAGCCTTGTCTGAATTATTTGGGTGGCCCAATGCAATCACAAGGGCCCTAAAAAGTGGAAGACAGGGGAGGCAGGAGAGTCAGAGGGAGGTGTGACTACGGAAGAAGGGTTGGAGATTCAACACTGCTCTTGCTTTGAAGATGGAGAAAGGAGATCATGAACCAAGATATGAGCAGAAGCTCTAGAAGCTGCAAAAGCAAGCAAATGGATTCCACCCTAACAGTCTCCAGAAAGGGACACAGCCCTGCAACACCTTGTCTTTAGCCCAGTGAGTCCTTGGTCAGATACCTGACCTACAGAACTGCAAGGTAATGAAACCGTGTTTGTACTGTTTTAAGCCACAAAGTTTGTGGTAGTTTGACAGCAGCAACAGAAAGCTAATACACTGTGCCAAACTCAGTTACTCCCCATACTAGTGAGGTAGATACTATTATTAATCCTACTTTATTTTTTTAGATTTATTTATTTATATGGGGGGGGAGGGGAAGGAGGGAGAGAGCATCTCAAGCAGACTGTGCTGAGTGTGGAGGCCGGCATGGAGCTCGATGGATCCTAGGATCCCACGACCCTGAGATCATGACCTGAGCTGAAACCAAGAGTCAAGACAGCCAACAGACTACACCACCAGGCACCCCATTAATCCTACTTTAGAAAAAGGAAGCTCATACTTAAAAAGAGAGGGGTGCCTGGGTGGCTCAGTCAGTTAAGTGTCCGACTCTTGGTCTCAGCTCAAGTTTTGATCTCAGGGTTGTGAGTTCAGGCCCTGCGTTGGGTGTGAAGTCTACTTAAAGAAAAGAGAGAGAGAGAGAGAGAGAGATTAGGTTGACTTGTCTGAGGTCATACAGCTAAATAAACTTCGGACTTGGACATGTCCATCTCCTGTCAGTGTCATGCAAGGATGAGCCCACCTCCTACATCACTGCCTTCAAGCTGTGAACATGAGCATTGAGCTTTGGAGGAGTTGAAGTGCTCCACTAATTTCTCCTACCCTCACACCCAACGAGATCTTCCAGTTACTGCTATTTGAAACTATTTACACCTCATCTGTCTCCTTGTTCGACCAATCTTTGGATCATTATTATCTTCTATGTATTTTCTATTTTCCACATCCACTGGGCCATGCTAAAGTAGAACAAATCACTTGGGTAAAAATATTATTCTAACTCCCTCCCTATTACTAGTTCCAGTCACGTAATGTCCCATTCTAAAGCTTTCAATAGCTCTCCAGTATATAACCAAGTAAAACCTCATTTCTTTTAGGAGTCTGACTTCAGGAATCCTTTAGGGATCTCAAAAAGATCTCATCTTATCTTTCCATCTTCACACTACTGCTTCGCACATATTATAAGATACATCCAAATGCAGTCCTCAGGCCCGTATTTTGGCAATGTCTCACTTCTACATCCTTTGTTGTGTTATGATATTTATCTAGAATGTGTGTCTATCAAAAACCATACCCACCCCTTAAAAACAGCACACTAACCACAAAACCCTATAGAATTTTGCTTACACCATTCAGCTCCATTTGGCTTCAGACACTAAGGACCCAGTTAGGCTAAAGGAGGTGGTATACCATTGTCATCTTTTAGGTTAGACATCCTGGGTCCAAATCCAAGCTCTACCACTTTCTAACTTTGTGATCTAGGGTAATTATTTCACTTCACTGGTCTAGGTTTCCTTCCCTGAAAAATGGGAAAAATAATAGTACCCTCCTCATACAGTTGTTTCAAGACTTAAATGGATTACTACATGTAGCTGACATATAGATTCTTGATTTTTACTATAATTCCCCTAAAGAAATGATGTATGTAACTCATGACCCCAAGATCAAGAGTCACATGCCCTCTCAAATGGGCCAGCCAGGTGTCCCACAAAGGGTGTATCTAATCATTACCTTTCCTTCTCCCAGAGAGTTGGATCTTGTGATCCAACACAGTGTCAAGCTATGCCTCTACTTCCACCAGATGGATCCCAATTCCCAATCCTTGGTACTACAATATGGAAATCACCACGAATTAGTACTTCCCTTCACGATCTTTCCCCTTTTCCCTCCTGACCGATCCCCTTACTCCCAGATCACTTAATACATTTTCTCAAGCAAAGATATACTAATCAACTTAGATACCGTGACTTTAATAACTGCCCACTATCAAGATTAGCTCTACAGATGAGCTTCCCCAGCAAACCCCTTTTCTTATTATTGCATCAATGAAAAATGTCAACATGCTGTTATTGTTGTTATTGGTATTTGTCTTATTCAGCTACACAGTTATAGGTTTCTTACGAGCAAGGACTATGGAATAATCATCTTTGAATTTCCCAGACCTAAACACATTTTTATTTTTGATTAAGCTGACAGATGAAATGAGTCACATGTGAGTCACAGCTGAGTACCAATCAGCAAAAATAGCTTTTTGTTTAGCACCCCTTCCCCAACCACTGGTACTAAAATACAAACACACAAATTTATCCTTGTAATTATAGTAAGTTTTAAAATGAATGATACCACTAT